CAGCACTCCGGGTAAAGTGTGCTGTAATGTTTTGCAGCACCTGTAAGGACTGAAGTTCATAAGTTAATTTAATGCAGGCTCTGATCCACCGCCGCAGACTCGACGGTGAAGCCTTGTTTCCCAAGGATGCCTGGAGAAAGGAGACAGAGATTCCGAATGGCGTAGTGAAGCCGTACGGTCGATATAGACTTTAAGAGCCCATTGTACATCAAGGGCGTGCCATTTGCGCTCCCTTTCGTGGCGAGGAGCCAGACAGAAATCAGGCAAGGTCAGTTCTTGTCCTCCGTGGAACCGGCTGTTGACTTTTGGCAAGAAAGTTGGATCAAGGCATAATACAACACGGTCTGAGTGGAATATGCACAGATATTGCCTCACGGACAGGGCTGCCAAGTCTGAAATACGTCTGGCAGATGCTATAGCCACTAGAAACAAAGTCTTGAGTGACAACAATTTCAATGACGTGGACCTTAATGGTTCAAATGGAGAGGAGGTGAGGGCCTCCAGAACCCGCGGCAAATCCCAAATCGGGTAGCTGTGAATGACCGGAGGACAGAGGTTTGAGGCTCCCTGGAGAAATCTCCGAATCAAAGGGTGAGTAGAAAGGTGTACTGTGGATGATCCGTCCAGGACGGAAGACAAGGTGGCCACCTCTCTTCATAATGTGTTTGGGGTGAGACCTTGATCTAACCCTCTCTGTAAGAAGTCCAGCACTTGAGGAATGGAAGCCCTTAGTGGATCGATAGAGAGGTTAGAACACCAGAGCGCAAACGCTTGCCACGTGGCATCATAAATATGGTTGGTTGAACTTCTATGCGATGCATGGATAGTAGCAATGAGGTTGAGGGAGATTTTATCAGTGTCAAGAGATCGGCAAACCAAGCACAGCATGGCCAGTGGGGCGTCAGGAGTAAGAGTTCTGCCTCCTGCTCCAACATCTTTTGTACTACCCTCTGGATGAGAGGGAGTGGTGGAAATGCATATAGGAGGCCCCTGGGCCACTGGCACCTGAGGGCATCTACCCCCTCCGCACTGGGATCCACAAACCTTGAGTAGTACCTGGGGACTTGGTTGTTGTCCGCTGTCTCAAACAGGTCTAGGACAGGTAGTCTGAACCGGAGTGTGAGTCGATGGAAGAGGTCCGGGTGAACACTCCACTCCACCTGATCTATTTTGGCTCAGCTCAACCAGTCTGCCTGGACGTTGGAGGCTCCCAAGATGTGCTCCGCCCTGAGAGATGCTAGATAAGATTCCGCCCAGTGGCATAATAGATCGGCTTCCTGCATCAGCGGCCAGGACCTGGTCCCCCCCTGCCTGTTTTTAATTTTTAAAAAATCATTTTTAATTTTCAAAACAAACATCCTTCTTTACATGCTGTAGAAAGTATACCAGTGGGTTACAAGAAAACTTTCGTGCATCTCTTCCACAGTCATCAAGCATAATTCATATTAACTCAAGTATTTTAACTCAGATATTTATACATATTACCATCATCATATCTCCATTTTCATTTGACTATANGGGCTGGCGTTCCAACAGGAGCGTCTTTCAATGCCTACGGTGCCAGCGGAAGTCCCACCCTTTCGTTTTTCCAATACGCCTCACAGTCCCAAAAACAGGAAGCCAGGGGGATTTTCAAGCCCTAATAGACTCAGGCTGCACTAGATGATTGATCAACCTGACCAAAGTCCTGAAACTGGGAATCAGAGCAAAAAGACGGGCCCACCCAATCCGATTTGAACAGGTTGATGGGTCCCTAATGGGGGGAGCCTTTGCCACCCACCTGACCAAACCAGTAAGACTAGAGCTAGCGGATCACTGGGAAGTAATTTGATTTGTAATAGCCCCCCAAATGACAGATGCAGTCATACTGGGACTCTCCTGGCTACACAAGTGGGGACTGACCATCTGGTGGCAAGGAGGTACCTGCACAATTAGGATAGAAAAGGGGCCCCAACCCCTTCCACACCAGCAAGCAGAAACAGCAGCCAAGCAGGGAACCCCCAAAAGAGCCCACCAGAACCACTGGGAGCCACATCTGACAAAACCCCAGAGACCGAACAGATCCCAGGAGAATATCAGGACCTTGCAAAAGTATTCAGCAAGACCGAGTGCAACATTCTGCCTCCCCAACATGAGGCAGATTGCGCCATCGAAATCATCCCTGGTGCAAAACTAGCCAAGCCCAAACCGTATGCCATGATGCCCCAGAAAATGCAAGACAAAAACCTAGCACAAGGGTTCATCGAGCCAGCCAAGCCACGGGTCGCAGCGCCAGTTCTCTTCAAAGAAAAAAAAGACAGAACTATGAAACTGTGTGTGGACTTTAGAGGAATCAATGCCATGTGCGTACACAACCTATGCTATCTCACTTGGCCAAGGGAAAAGTCTTCACCAAACTAGACCTCAGAGAAGCATACTACTGAGTATGGATCAGGGAAAGAGATGAGTGGAAAACAGCATTCAACTGCCCTCTAGGGAGCTTCCAATTGAAAGTGATGCCTTTTGGACTGCAGGGAGCCCCAACAGTGTTCATGCAGTTAATAAACAAGGTGCTGCATGAGCACCTCTACAAGGGGGTCCTCGTCTACCTGCCTAACATCCTCATCTACATGGAGATCATGAACGACAACATACCCGTGGTCCAACAGGTAGAAGGCAGCCAACCTGTAAGTCAAGCTATCAAAATGTGAATTCCACCATGCATGGCTAGACTACCTGGGTTACCGAGTATCAAATGAGGGAATAAAGATGGTCCCAGCCAAAGTACAAGCCGTCCTAGCCTGGCAACCCCCTCACACCCAAAGACAGCTACAAAGGTTCCTAGGGTTTGCAAACTTCTATAGGCAATTCATCCCCGCTTTTGCGAAAATTGCCAAACTCATGACAGACCTCCTAAAGACAGGGAGCCCAGGAACAAAACCTCGCCCGGGACAACCTCTACAGTGGGACCTAACCAGCCAAGAGGCATTCAAAACACTAAAAGAAATGTTTGCAAAGGAACCGTTGTTGAAGCATCCTGACCCCGAGCAACCCTTCGTGATCCAAGCAGACGCCAGAGACATGGCAGTGGGAGCGGTACTACTCCAAAGAAACAACCAAGGAAACTTACACCCTTGCGCCTACACCTCCCGCAAGCTCACAGACACAGAGAGATGATGGGCCACATGGGAAAATTAGGCTTTCGTGGTGAGATGGGCATTTCTAACCTGGTGACACCTGTTAGAAGGGGGCCAGAAACCGTTCAAAGTCTGGACTGACCACAAAAATCTGGAGGCTCTCAGGACCCTGTGGAAATTATAACCCAAACAAGTCCGATGAGCTCAATATTTCAACCGTTTCAACTTTGTACTAAAGCACATTCCAGGGGGGAGGAACTGTCTAGCTGATGCCCTCTCCTGCATGCCCCAGTACAAATGCGAACTGGAGCAGGTGGTGGATGCCATCATTCCCCCTACTCAAACAGCTGCCCAAGTGACCACCAGATGACAATGCCATGACCAGCAAGACCAACCACCAGGCAACCTAACCACGAGACTCAAAACTGAACTGCTAGCAGACCCCTGGTTCCAAAACAACCAACACATCTTGACAAAAAGAGATGAAAAAGAGATGACCTTGCATGGAAGGGGACGAAACTCTATGTCCCAGAATCCCTACACACCCTAATTCTCCAGAGGAGCCACAATGCCAAACCGGCAGGCCAGATGGTGTCCTGCTGCATTTGAGGAGAGCTTTGGGGAGATGATTGTCCTTCTCGGGGGCTTGCAGGGGTACCCTATCCCATCGTTGGTTCCAGNAAAAGCAGCACAGCAAGAAGTATGACATTCCCATTCCAGAACACCCAGCAATTATTAAATCCAGCGTGATAAAAAAATATAGTGTAATAAATGAGGGCGTGCTAGATATATTAAACTAAAGTCTACTCGGAAGTAAGTCATTGGGGCTTACATGCTTTTTAATGGATATAGTATTGCACCCTTCATATCTGGATTAAATGGCATTTGCATGATGCCACAGCCACAAAGCCTTTCAACTCTCCTACTTTTGAGTGGGCATAATCTCTGCGCCCTAAAGAAAAGGGATACTCTTTGATTGGATCTGAAAAGTTGGTCCTGAAAGCCATACAGTTAATTTTAACTGCTTTGCAGAATTCTTTGCCCTCTGCTGCAAATATTTGGAAGCAGAAGGAAAGGGAATGGTTTCCGGATTTGTTTGCTCTTAAATGAAATCTATAAGCATTAAGGCTGAGAAAAACAAGACAAACCCAAATATTTGGGTTGTACGACAGGAATCCTGAAATGAGTTTCTGTGTTGCTTGCTATAGCTCTTATCAAGACAACAGGAGAAAGAAATGGACGCCGAATGCCTTCAACTCTGAGATACAGTAATTGTATTCTAAGCTCTGGGTTACCCTCTAGATAACAGTCCGACATTTGGGGTTCTCCTTCTTGCCCAGTTGATTTTCAGTAAAACTAGTAGAATTGTAAAACAGGGTTAATAGAAATGACTTTTATATTAGCTTGTTTTTGCAAGTAACACTGTAGTAAAAGTTGATAAGCTTAATGTTTTCCCATTAAAAACAACCCATTTCCCCATGCTCACAAAACAGATGAGGATGAAAGAATATTTTAGCACCAACTTTCAGCACATATCACCCCCTTATTCCAAAATACACCCATCCTGCAGTTAATTTTTCTTGTCAAAAGGATGTGATCCTTTATTTGAGTTATTAAGTTTCCATTGAATCACATACCAGAAAGATCAAGCATGAAGTTTCAAAGGATTGTGGAGTATGCTTTTCATGGGTGACTATGATAACTTGACTATGCTTGGTGTATTGTTTAATCAAAAAAGCACAGGTTCAGGGTAACAGACAGCAACTTCGGCTTTGGTGTGTGAATAAAACTTGGGTTTATGTTATTGGGCAATTTTGACTAATTTCAGTATCACTGCAAAAATATATATTTGAGCTCAGGTATCTTTTAAATCTCTTTCTCTAGACTTTTTACGAAAGGTTGAAGCACTGGGTAGATATTTTGGATCCCTTTGTCATATTTACACCTGAGGTAAGAAACCTAAACTTTGGATATTGAAACTTGAAAGTCAGCTATAAAGCATTTCTGTGGGTGTGTTCATATGGCATTAAAAATTTACAGGTAAGTCTCTTGTTTACTGATTGCCTTATTAGCAACCATTTGAAATCATGCTAAAAAAAAGAGTCGCTTGGATTGAGATGGCTGGCTACAAAAGTTGAATAAATGACAGCTTTGTGATCAATCTTTGCATTTATGACCATCACAGCATTTCACAGTCACATTTGTGTTTCACAGCTGACTTATGATAAGCAAGTTAATAGTGAATGAGGAAGTAAAATATAAATTGGAGTCACAGAGCTTAATGATGAAGTGCAAATCCCAATTGTGATCTCGGATTGAGGATTATCTCTAGATCAGGGGTGGTCAAATTTGCAACCCAGGGCTGGATGCATCACACACAGGCCACACCTACCCTGGCTCTGCAAAGGCAAAAAACGCAATACATTGCGAAATGTCATGTGACGCAATCGAGTTTGACACTCATGCTCTAGATCAGTGTTTCTCAACCTTGGCAACTTGAAGATGTCCGGACTTCAACTCAAGCATTCTCTGGCTGGGGAATTCTGGGAGTTGAAGTCCAGACATATTCAAGTTGCCAAGATTGAGAAACACTGCTGTAACCTGTTTCATTTCCCTGGAGCAACAGGAGCCATATATTAGCCATTAGTTTGAGACCAGATATCATGCTAAACCATAGCTAGAGCAAGTAAGTCAAGTGCAAGCCACAGTTTCAAACTGCATCATTAAGACAACCTTAATAGTGCGTAACATTTTCTCTATTCAGACAACATACAAAATGCAACCACAAGGGCCATGTAGTTGGAAGAATAAAATCAGGCAGCTTGCATAAAAATGATCGTTAATGTAACATGCTTGTTATGTTTCCACAAGTTTCCAGCAAAAGTAATATTATTTTAAATAAAAAATAATAATTTCAAAATGTTATGACCTGTAATAACAAATATTTGAAAGAAAGCATTAACCCATGTATGTTGGCCTGGGATACACATAGAGCGAACCACTGCATTGCACCAAATTCAGGCTGTCACCAAAAAGAGCAATTCTGGTTGCTTTTAGCTTTGTATATCTCCAACCACCAGTGGAAAAGAAATAGTGATGTTCGATTCATTGTCAATATATTGAAGGAAGATTGAAACAGGTTCTCTGCATGAATACATAAATGATTTGGGACTGGACTGAATATGCTATGGTTAGATGACTCCTGACATCCTTCCTCCCCTTGAAAAGTCTTGCAGATCGGATTGGAAAAGCAGCTTTGGGAGAAAGACAGACAAGCCTTCCCCTGAATGCTTTCTTCTGGATCTATTTGTGTCCTAGAAGGTGCTCTCTGAGTTTCTCCTTTCACCGTCCACTTAACCTGTGAGAGTTGAGTAGAGAAAAACTATGCCCAATATTGGTTGATTATATTTTGTGTCGCAAAACACTCATGGAAAAAAAATGATAACATCGCAAGAAAAGAAATGCTTATTTATAGAAGGAAAAAAAACCACCCCAGTTTATTTCCATTTTTCTTGTAAATACAGGCGGACATTAATGCATCGAGAGATCTTTTACTGAATAGTGGAGAAAATGCAATGTCTTCACAAGATAAAAAGGTACAGTGATGTTTTGAACATATTTGTATATTACGGTGCATTCTAGTGTGCAAAAATGATTTAAGTTTCTCGTTGCTGTGCCCTGATACCTAGGCCTGAAACCTGAGGCACGGAGAGAGGAACTGATTTTGTAATTGCCTTCATTTTGATCCCAGCTCTCCCCAAGAGAGGCTAAACACCGGCTTTGTTCGTGTGATACTGTCTGTAAAGTAGTCATGCATTGATGCTCCTGAACACATTTCTAGTGTGACATCAGTAATTACCCCTGTCCCATGACAGCCACACATGGAACATACTGGTCTGAAAAGAAGCCTGTTAATGTGAGCAGTTTTTGTATGTAATAGTTCTGTATAATTTATTTATTTATTATTTATTTTATTAAATATTTTTATATGCCGCCCAATCCCGAAGGACTCCGGGAGGTTTACAAAAAATAAGAGAAAAAAAAACACATAATGAGAAAAGAAACAGTTTAAAAACAGCAACATCCTCATACATTCCTTCTAATCGGGGTTGGACCTCAACAGTGAGATCAACAGCCCCAGGCCTGCCGGAACAGCCAAGTTTTTACAGCTTTCCTGAAGGCCATGAGAGTGGGTATGGTC